CCTGGGAATAAAGCCATACACTGTAAAAAAAGGCAACACGTAAAAAAAAACCAAACACTGTAAAAAAGCCATACACTGAATAAAGCCATACAAATGTAAAAAAAGGCATTTCACTGTAAAAAAGCCATACACTGTAATTTAAAAGGGATACACTTTTTAATAAAGGGCCCTACAAATTTTAATAAAAGGCTTTCCCGGGAATAAAGGGATACATGTAATAAAGCCAAACACTGTAATAAAGGCATACACTGTAATAAAGGCATACACTGTAAAAAAAGCCATAAAACTGTAAAAAGCCATACCTGAATAAAGGGGCCCTACACGTCACTGTACTTCCTCTTTCGTCAGTCAGCGTTGTCATTTCAGTTTGCCATCATATTGTACCTCTTTTCGTGCATTTTTTAACAAAATTTTTTTTATTTTCGGCTTTTGGCACTACATACCGCCCGAAAATTTTCCATTATGTCCGTGGGGGTTTTAAAATTTTTATATCATTTAAACCCGGTTGGGAGACGAGTTTTTACAATTTTTTTTTTAGTGACTTTTCCCGTGACATAAATTTTTTGTTAATAACTTTTTGATTCTCTCTCCTCTCCTTCCCCTCCCCCTCTTTTCCCCTTTTCCTCCCTCTCTTTCCCCTCTCTCTTTTCTTTTTCTCCCCCCCTTTCCCCTCTTCTCTCTCTTCTCTCTCTCTCTCTCCTCCCCTCTCTTCCCCTCTCTCTGATATTAATTTTTTTGTCGCTTATATTCTTTTTGTGGCCCTTATTTTCCCTTTCTCATTTTTATTACATTTTTTATATACATTAAATCGCTTAAATTTATCAAATCCATTTTGCCTTTAATTTATCCCAAAAATTCCCCATGAGGTTTTTTACTCTTTCTTTTTATTGAATTTTTGTTTTTCCTTTTAGTGAGACGGTTTTATTAATTAAAAAAAATTACTAAGCGTTCAGGTCTTTCTGGCACCCCACTTTTGGACCTTTACTTTTTGGCACCTCACTTTTGGCCTCACTTCTGGCACCTCCGACAGCTACAATTACATTTTTCCTCTTAGTACTCTTCACATTGTCCTTTTGATAGCTTGCATTCCATTCATGTAATTGTCAGCAAAAAAGATGGGTGGTGCGTTGAGGCATCTATGGAAACAAAGAACTTTGTCTATGGAAGTAAAAATGAGATTGTTCCAAAGTATAGTTGTACCAACTCCCTTGTATGGGTGTGAGGTATGGGTTGTAAACGCTGCAGCGAGGGGATATGGGAGGCGGGAGGCTGTGGAGATATGGGCAATGTGTAGTGTGAATATTAGGTAGAATTTGGAGATTACGAAGTGTGGAGATACCAAAAGTATTATTCAGAGAGCTGTGGAGGGTCTGTTGAGGTGGTCTGAACATTTACAGAAGCTGGAGAAAAATAAGATGACTAGGAAGGCATATAAATCAGGGGTGGAGAGATAAGTACAAGGGGCTTGAACAACCAGTAAGCTCGTGTGAGTGTGTTAGACAGGAGTGAGTAGAAGCAAGTGTTTTTTTTTCATGATATGACGTGCTGTTTGAGCAGGCTACTCTGAGGAACTCAGATGTCTCTCAAATGACCTAATGTCTCACCCCGAAGAGATAAAATGTGCCATTGAACTATTTGAGCAGGGTAATATTTATGAGGGGATTCAGGGAAATTGGTTAGCTAGACTTGAGTCCTGGAAGTGAGGAGTGCAGTGCCTGCCCTCTGAAGGAGGATGTTGCGGTCTGGAGGATCATCGGAACTATAATATCAGCGCGTTTCTGGCAAGACAGTGATTGAATGAGCGACAGTGAAAGTGTTTTGCTCTTTGCTGTGTCATTCTACCTCGGGTAGAGATGGTCGTTGTGCTAAAATAAAGTTAATTCTTCACGTGGAACCTTCTTAAAGTCAAGATGTTTTTTAGAAGAGTTGTATGTTGCTGATGAGGAGCTCTTGATCCAGGGAATTAGACCTATCGTTCCCTTCTTTGGATCGATCTCGATTACCTGTCATTCCCACGAGATCTATCACTTCTGTGGGTTTCAGCATTACCCAGTAATAATAATAATGATGATAATAATAATAATAATAATAATAATAATAAATAATAATAATATAATAATAATAATAATAATAATAATAATAATAAAATAATAATAATAATAATAATAATAATAATAATAATAATAATAATAATAATAATTAATAAAATAATAATAATAATAATAATAATAATAATAATAATAATAATAATAATAATAAAGTCTAGATTCACAAAATCGTAATGACAAGATTGCAAACCTACCAGCGTACGGGTGGGGTTAGAACCCATGGCGAGTGAGTCATAAAACTAGAGGCCAGCGCGAAAGCCACTGGACCAGCTGGCTTGCGCTTGCCTGGGGTTTTAAGACTCGGCCTACCGCGAGTTCCAAACCCCACCCGTACTGGGTTGGTCTGAGAGTCTAGCTATTCGTAAATACAATCCACATATCCATTTCCTTATGTGAAAAATTTGCGTTGACTGTATAATACAATTTTAAAAATTTGCAGACTGAAAGTC